AAGTGCAGAGGCTTTGAGGCAGGAGTTGGGTGTGAGGATAAGCAGGGATTCACTGGGAAAACAAAGAGAAAGGGAATTCTAGGCAGTGGTGCAGGAGCAAGATGTGAAATCCATGCCTGATCCAGAAAACTATGTAACTAATAGACTTATCCAATAGTCAAAGGCTCGAGGGGGAAAGGTGAAGAGTTCTGGCTCCAAACAGAAGCCAAATTCTGAGCTTTCTTTGCAACCCATGAAAAAGGCCATGTACTTTAAGCCACTGGTGATTTGCATGGGCTACATGTGTAAAAAGGTGTATTAATTCAGAAATATTGGGGTGCCTGGGTGGCTCAGCTGGTTAAACGTCTGCCGTTGGCTCAAGTCATGATCCCAGGGTCCTGGGATGAAGCCCCACCCACATTGGGCTCCCTGCTCAGCAGAGTCTGCTCCTCCCTCTTCCTCTGCTGCTCCCCCTGTTTGTGCGCAGTGCACGCGCGCGCTCTCTCTCTCTGTCAAATAAATAAATAATCTTTTTTTAAAAAACTTTTAATTCAGGGGCGCCTGGGTGGCTCAGTTGGTTAGGCGACTGCCTTCGGCTCAGGTCATGATCCTGGAGTCCCGGGATTGAGTCCCGCATCGGGCTCCCTGCTCGGCGGGGAGTCTGCTTCTCCCTCTGACCCTCCCCCCTCTCATGTGCTCTCTCTCTCTCATTCTCTCTCTCAAATAAATAAATAAAATCTTTAAAAAAAAAAAACTTTTAATTCAGAAATATTTACTAAGTCCCTACAGTGTACCAGATATTGATATCAGGCTGGGAATAAAATGGTGAGGAAAAAGAGGTCCGATCCCCGCCCTTTTGCAGCTTACAGTCTGGTGAAGAGATAGGCATCCACTTTTTTAAAAAAAATCACTCCCCCAAAAAAGGTCAAAATTTAAATTAAAATGTGACGAGCAGCCCTGCTGCAAACAGGAAGAGCAGAAGTAAAGGGTGACACCAAGGAAATTCGGAACTGGATGTGTAGACAAGACGGAGTTAGGGGTCCCCAGAAAAACAAAGATGAGATACAGCTTTCTTAACATCAGCCAAGTCATGTGAGGACCCCGGCTGTTTTATGATTGATGCCTGGCCAGTGTTATTTGCACAAACATGTTTCTCGAAGAACTTCCCGGGATGCATCAAAATTGCAGAAAAAAATAGATCTCGGCAGTTAATGATTTTCAGGGAACAAAAAAATGTAAAACACAAATAGCCACTACCAAGCCAGGACATAGTCTGACCACAGCAGAGACAGTAAATCAGTGGTAAAACTCCCAGTGCTTTTTCAGAAGTCAAGATTGACCCAATGCCCACTCTTATGTCATTTCTGCAGGATTTAAACCCCTCTGAGTGCACAAACACAGGGCTAACTGGAGTCAGAGCGCTGACGATGCGACCCAGGCTGGCCCGTGATTTCAACCAACTAGGACCTGGACTCCTGTCACCTTAGGATGACTTTGTCCCAATTCTAGACTGAACTGTCCTCTGCCAAACTCCTGCGTGAATACACACACACCTGCTGCTTAAAACTCCCCCAATTTTGTTGTTGGGAGAGGCTGTGCTTGCAGAGCTATCTCCCTGCCTCTTTCCTCGTAACCAGTAATACAAAGTTCATCGCTTCCAACACCTCCTTGGGTTGTGCAATGTAATGCACCCCACATGGCGCTGAGTTGAGCTGCTCCCACACTGACCTCAGCACCAAGAGCCGTAGGATTTAGACAAACGTGCAGCATTTGGCCACCGTTGCCAAGGTCCCAGTGGTCATAAGGCTGTATCGGAGGCAGGACACTGTAGACGGGATCTGAGCTGCCTGGGAAGGGCTGGTAGAGGCAGGAGGATAAAGGGGAGCGGAATTTGCTACCCCAAAATATGTCCCTTTGGCATAAGGGTTATTTTAGGCTGATTATTTTGAAAAAACAGCAGACAGAGGGGAAGCTCTGAAACCCGAGTAGAAGTCTCACTTTTGTAAAAGACATTGACATTGATAACGGAAACCTCCATGTATAAGGGTGTCTCCAACTCGGTATCAGAAGGGTGACTCTAAAACTCTAGAAACTTCTATCAGGGGAGAAGGCAGAGACTTCTGTACAACCGCCTTCCCCTTGTTAATTGTGATTTTCCTGGTCACCTCCCGTAACTGCCTCTCTCCCACCCCCACCCCGCCCCGCCTAACCCTCTCTTTTGTCTTTAGCTAGAGATGTGATTTAAGGTGATGCCTTGGGCCACTCTGAAGAGTTACTCAGTTTCCCCAAGGCTTTTCCACATATACAGAAGGGATCCATGTTAGTAAACCTCTGTTTTCTCCTATTAATCTTTTATTACAGGGGCCATCTCAGCCAAGTATCCAGAAGGATAGAGAGAAAAAAATTTTCCCCCACCAGGATCGAAGAGATCACCGTCTTTCAAACCATGGCTCACACCCTGTAAGTGAGGTGTGACATGAAAGTGATGGGTCATTACCAGCATTGGGTAAGTGATACAGAATGAAACAGAAAACAATGCAAAATACCATACATAGTAAGAATGAGTTTGATGGTAATTCTCTATTTCACGAGACTCATTTCAGGTGTGTGTGTGCGTGCGTGCGTGTGTGTGTGTGTGTGTGTGTGTGTGTACAGAACTGCAATGTAAATCCAATTCAATTCTGTGCATCTTGATCAAAACTGAAAACCAGGGGCACCTGGGTGGCTCAGTTGGTTAAGCGTCTGCCTTCGGCTCAGGTCATGATCCCAGGGTCCTAGGATCAAGCCCCACATCAGGCTCCCTGCTTGGCGGGAAGCCTGCTTCTCCCTCTCCCACTCCCCCTGCTTGTGTTCCCTCTCTCGCTGTCTCTGTCAAATAAATAAAATCTTAAAAAAAAAAATAAAAAAACTGAAAGCCACCAGAGTAGAGGCCCTCTCAAGGTCTCGCCCAGCCCAAGATGTCACCAAGGATGAGTGCTCAGCCTGCGGAGGGTTGACAGAAACACCTGTTTCAGGCAGAGCAGGAGGCCAGCTCTACTTAGAAGAACTTCACCAAACTCTGATGGGAAGATGTGAACTCGGAAATGCAATTAACCACCTAACCTCAGTGTTCACTCTCATGTATCATGGGGGGCGGGGGTGGAGGAGCCGGGAGAGGAGTAAATTGATACAAACTTTCTGGAAAGCTACCTGGTAATGTTCACCAGGCTATCGGGAGGCATTTTTGTTTGTCATGACCGGAATTGGGAGGAGAAAGGATGATACCGTTATTAATCTCATAACTGAGGCCAGGGATGCTGCCAAATATCCTTCAATAGGAGGACAGCCTCTGACTCAGGGTCCATTTTGATGATGACCGTAGCTTTGATAAGGACGTGCTAGCAAGAAAGAATACAAAAGGGCATGCACCAGGGGGCGGGAGGCGGGAGGAATCCAGGCCAATGACCTGTTTCAAATATGTTCTCTTTCATTCCCTGCTGTATCCCAGCCCTGTTGGCACACAGTAGTCAGGAAATAACTTGTTGAATGTTCCATGCTGAATCCAGCAAAGGCTTCTGTGGCTAAGCAGATGCCTGACGGTTCCAGACTGAGGTCCTACAGTGACACCTAGTGGCAGAAACTGAAACAGCCATGCAGGTAGACCAGATTTAGAGGGTGTTTGCAGAGCCGATCCCTTCTGACTACAAAGGCCCCAGAATTTGCGGGGAAATCATGAGGCTAGTGAGGAGCGGGCAATTCAAGAGGACGATATGTGATGTCCTGCTAATAAAGGCAAACAAGGGTTTGAGCAATTAATGGGAAAGATCAAAGACAGATGATGTGAAAAAAGAAAAAAACAAGCCCAGGGGTGCCTGGGTGGCCCAGTTGGTTAAGCGTCCAACTCTTGATTTCAGCTCAGGTCTTGATCTCAGGGTGGTGAGTTCAAGCCCCACATTAAGGCCTACTAAAAAAAGAAAAAAATTCCCAAAATGGAGTCATTCACCCCCACAAGATAGCAAACCCAGACTTAGTTTTAACCTCTCAGGAAACAACCCTCTCTTTTGTTTTGCTAATAACTCTTGCCCTACCCTCCTGCCTATAAAAACCTTCTCTTGTGCAACTTCTCTACTTGCTAGAAGGGATTCTGCCCGATTCATAACTGATCTTCAATTCATCTGATTGAATTTTGCTTTTTTTTTTTTAGCAATTTGGACCCCAAGCTGATAAAACAAGTCACAGAGGTTATTTAATTGGGGGGGGGGGGTTCAAAATGCGCATGGATAATCCTAATTCTATTGTTTATTTATTTATTTATTTATTTTTAAGATTTTATTTATTTATCAGAGAGAGAGAGACAGAGGCAGGCAGAGGGAGAAGCAGGCTCCTTGCTGAGCAAGGAACCCAATGTGGGACTCAATCCCAGGACCCTGGGATCACGACCTGAGCTGAAGGCAGACGCTTAACCCACTGAGCCACTCAGGCGTCCCCTAATTCTATTGTTTTTTTTTTTTAATTCTATTGTTTAAAAAGAGGATGCACATACCCATTTGTCTGGAAGAATTACACCAAAACTTTTTACCAAAATGACAACGGTAGGTTCCCTAGAGGGCAAAGCTTGGGATAGTTCTTTTCTTTTTATCTATTTTTTGTTTTATTTTACACTGAATGTCTATTGTTTATGTAAAAAAAAAAAAAAGAAGAAGAAGAAGAAGTTAGATGGATGTGGACCCAAAATGCAAAGGCATTTAAGAATGTCTAAGGTACAAAGACCCTGATCACCTATGCACACCTTGGATTTCCATATCTGGGCTCTTATTATCCAGAACCAAATGCACTACAACCTCAGCGCTCCCTTGAGCATGAGCTTCCAAGAACTGCCCTCACCCCTTCTGGCTCCCGAATCCCCTCTTTTCTCCGCTCGTGAGTGATATTTACCATCCAAAGCTGACTGTCTCATCCTGGCCTGCAGCACAGGCACGGAAATCGGGAGGAACCGAGGCCGATGTGCTGGGGACGAGTCTCCATCCCCCGGGCCTGCTCACCTGACATGTGGACATTCCGGAGGCAGGACAGGGAGGCATTGAGACGGGCGCACTCCTCCCGGTTGGCTCCGTATTTCTCCACCGTCTCACACACCTGCTCATCTGTCATCTCCAAGAGGTCCTCCAGACTCAGCTGGCCAGGGGTGATTTCCTACAGGAGGGAAGGAAGAAGGATGGTAAACACACCTCGGGTGCCCGGAGGGAAGGTGAGTGGGCTGAGCCTCCACACTGCCATCTAGCGGTACCTAGGGGAAACAGGCCTGGGTTTGAATCTCAGCTTGGCCACTCATTACCTCAGGCAAGTCACTTACCCTCTCTGAGCCTCACTTTATGCCCCTGTACAATGGAGGTCTTAAGTGCGCATACTTGGTAAGGTAACCCCTATCATTAGCATACAGACTGTGGTCCATAGACGGTGGTAGTTAATTATCTGTCTCCCCCACGCCCCCCGCCCCGTACCTTCTGAACTCCTTATGGGCGGGCTCCACTTTCCTCGTCTTTGGATGGCCCTCTATGCCTCCTGCTCAGCTTGGCTTGTCCCCAGTACAGGGAGAACTCAGAGCAGAGCAAACTGGATAGCCCAAGTCTCCTGATGGCTGTCCTCCCTGGCCACACCTTCTAGGGTCTAGATTGGGGGGTTAGGAACCCAAAGTGGCGGTAAGCTGGAATCCTGTGGGTAGCTCAGCGCTGGAAATGAAACCGGATTTGTGTCTGAGCCCCATAGGGCACGGCTTTGCATTCTAAGACAAAGTAGTAAGGCTGGAGTATGGCATGGGGTGGGGACAGGAACACTTCTGGAAAGATGGGCTGGGAACAGAAAAGGCAGGATTGCCAGCTGTAAATGTCCCTTCACCACCACCAGCAACCACCCCCCCTTCCCCAAAACGATATGTCCCCAGACACCATAATATAGATACACCTTGAAATTTGTCAAACTTTGATATTTATGCATCTTTATGCATTTATGCATATTTATGCATCTATATCATATGTGTATATAAAATGGAGAGCCTTCATTTATAGTAGCTAATGGTATCCAATGTTTTTACATATGTTATTTAAAAATAAGTACTTTAAGATACTAAAAATGGAGATTCTAGGACACTAGGATACTTCTGCCCTCTTGTGGCCATATCTGCATATTACAACAAAATCAGACACCTCCCCCTGCCCGCCCCCCAACCCCCAATACGGACATTTAACTGGCAGCCAGAAGGAGGAAAACTTCTTTCCCGGCCTCAAAACAGATGCAGAGCAAAAGCCATGAAGTCAAATCAGTGCCTTTCCAACTCACTAGGGCAGGGAGCAGGAGAAAACAATACTTGAGTCATTTAGGGCTTTTCTCAAATAGGGACACATGGCTCGTACAGCCCACTTTAAGAAAAGTGATGGTCCAGGATCTGAAGGTACAAAAAAAATCACATTTAGAGGGACTCATTCACAACCCAAAAGAATTCTCCTCTTTGCTTCAGGATTCACTTGTGCATTTTAATCCTATCATTTACTCCCCAAATACTAAATTTCCACTGAAATTTGGGGTCACAGGAAAAAAATCACAGAAGTAATAATGACATAAAAAATGGACAAAGCCTAAGGAAACCCGGACTAACAGAGCAGATGCACTTCCGTTCAATAAAGTGACAATAATAAGCGAAAATGAGACGGATGGCGCACTGTTTTAAGGGCTTTTCTTGGGTTTTCTTTAAATGTCACAAAGACCACATAAAGTAGTACTTTCATCATCATCATCGGTCTGTAATTAGGACACTAAAATTCAGAGAGGTTAGACCACTTGCGCAGGGATGCACAGCAAGTAAGTTTGAACCCAGGCTGTTACTTCGGAGCCTTCACCATACTGCTGGTTCCCCCTCAGAAAGGGGACCTCTGGTGGACGCATGCAGAAGCTGCAGGCAGAGAGCTGGAACCCCAGCTCCTCCCCATCCCCTGGTTGGTGGAGCCAGGATTCTAACAGCCTAAGGTAAGAGCCAGAGCTGGGGCACCTGCAGGCCAGGTAAATGAGCAAAACTGCCAACTAGCAGGAGCCTGCATGATCTGAAGGGGCAGCAGAAATCAGGTCATTGCCACCAGATGGAAATTCAGTGCCTTGTGTTCAGCAATTCGGCTTTTTCGAGAGAAGCCAGAGATCTGGAGGGGTTTTATGCAAACTCTTTATGCTTTTAAATATTGGCTCAAAATTTTTTTTGCAAAACCATATCAGACAAACAAAAATTGTGCATCAGATACAAGGAACAGCTTGGAGGCCACCAGATTTCAGCCCTTGGCTGAGATGATTTTGTCTCTGTATTCACCCCGATTGATAAATAATTGGTCCCAAAAGCCTCTAAAAAGTGGATTGGCCCTTGCAAATAAAATGTACTGTCTGTAGTTATACGTGACCTTTCATTTTAAGGATATTCACGTGAAAATTCCATCCTGGGAAGGAAATAAAGGAACACAGAATCATACACCATCAAATGAGCATGCATGAGGTGGGGGCAGGGGCAGGGATGGAGGAATATGTGGGTCCTTCGTCTAGCTCAGCATCTGGTGGGTTCAGGCGAGCTCACACAGAGGTCAAGATCTGAAAAAGACAAAAGATGGAAGACAATCTTCCGGGCCTCTTCAAGCAAGAAGAAGGGCACACCATGAGAAATGGCACTCGGGCCTGCAGGCAAGGGGGACACGCCCTTGTCTACCCAGCTCAGCGAGTCCCCAGCAACAGACAAAGGAGGAGAAAGCACAGTGCTTCCCACCTGCTCCAGAGTCCTTCTGAGCTGCATTCTCCTGCCAGCACCATCCGCTCACTAGCAGGGCAAGTCGCTTCATCTCTGAGCCTCAGATTCTTGCTCTGCATAATGGGGATAACTGTCCCCACCTCAAAAGACCATTGTGAGGGTCTGAACAGCCTCAACAGTTGAGATCCTGGGTGTAAAGCCCTTAGGACAACTCCTGGCCCCAAATATTCAGTGACTGGTTTCATTAGGAAGGCCTGGACACTGGAAAGAGTGGGGACCTGGGATCCAAGAGGGTAGGAAAATCTCACTATCCTTGAGATTTTAAGGATGTGGTCCACACCTGTTACTTCCAAAGCTTTCAACAATAATAACAAGCTGACATTTGCTGAATGCTATTAGGTGCCCAAATGTGAGCGGAACATTTTAGATGGACCATCTCATCATATCATTCTAGCTACTTCAGAAGAGGAGACAATCATTACCCCCATTTAACAGATTAGAAAACTAATGCCCTCAGTCGGTGGTGTCCAATATGGTGGCCACCGGCCACATTAATTAACATTAAAGACAATTAAAAATTCAGTTCATCAGTCACATGAACTAATCACAATTCAAGTGCCCAAGAGCTCCCTGGGTCTGGTGGCCACTGCATCAGCACAGATATAAAATATTTCCAACATTGCAGAAAGTTCTGCTGGATAGCACCAGTCTAAAAGGTAACATGACTCGGCCAAGGTGACTGAGCTAATGAGTGGCAGAGCTGAAAGAGGATCCAACTGAGCATAGAACCATATTCTTAACAACCCACTTGGACAGCATCAGAAATTCTCTGCGCCTTCCTCCAACACATATTCATTGGGGGCTTACTATGTGCCGGGCACAGGCAAAAACCCGCTGTGCAGGGGGCTGGCTTCTGGCCAGTAAGGGGCAGGGGGCAGGGGGCCGGGGGCCATCTCCAGTCACCTCCAAGACTTCCTTGCGCACATCGACGATCCGGAACCAGTGCCGGAGCTGGGGGAAGCCGTCCAACTCGGCATTGCGCTCCTGAAGGGCCACCTTCTTTTTGCAGGACAGCTGACGGCTGAAGTACTTCACCAGCTTGCTCTGCAGAGACACAGATGAGGACAGAGGACGGGTCTCAGAGGCACGGCCAAGGGAGGATAAACAAGAATCTCCCCACTGCCCCCTCCCCGCCCGAAACCCATCCAACGCCTATGTTAAAGACTGGTTTAACTGCAGGGAGGAGGGGCACACAGGAGTGTCACTTTATTGGGGGACCTTTGGGCTGCAATCACGTACATTTCCACTGCATAGATCCTTGGACCCAGAGATTCCACTTCTAGGAACTCACTTAGAGATGCCATCCTGGGCAAGAGGACTATAAAAGAATATTTCTTACAGATTGGCAAAAGATTGAAAACACTCTGAGGGTCCATCAGCAGGAGACTCATAAATGCAGGTACACAAGGGAACTCTATGCAGCTATAAAATAAAATGAGGAAGCGTGCTATGTACTCATACAGAACAATCTCCAAGATACATTGTTACATAAAAATGCTCTCCCATGCATGTGGGCAATGTCTACATTTATGTATCTTTGTAAATGCAGACACTCTCTGGGAGGATTTCTAATAACCTAGGGAAGGGAAGAGTGGGGTGAGGAAGAGGGGTGGAAGAAACATTTTTGTTTGTTTTTACTTTAATTTTTAATTAAAGCAGAGTCAACATACAATATTATATTAGTATCAAGTGCACAACCTAATGATTCAACAATTATATACATTATGCTGTGCTCACTACCAGAAGCAGATAAGCATAGTGACATTTGTCACCGTACAAAGTTATTACAATGGTATTGACTATATTCCCAATGCTGTACTTTTCAGGGGAGGAAGAGGTGCAAACTTCCAGTTATAGAATAAATAAGTCACAGAGATTAAAAGTACAGCAGAGAAACATTTCATTGAAATCCTTTTGTACTACATGAATCTTACATGCAAATATTCACAAATTCACGAATACTTATAGGATGAGATGGACATGAACTCATGCTATGGAGAGATGCCACGACACAAGAAAGGAAAACTAGTTATGTAAAAACTAACATTTGGCACACCTCTCTCACTTACAATGTATTTCTAAGGACAGTGCTCCTGTAGGGTTTTATACTAAAGAAATAATTAAGAATATTCACAAAGCTTTGCTCTAAATTGAAAAGAGCCACGAAAAATTGGAAACAATCCAACTCTTCAACAATAGGGGATGATGTAAGTACATTACAATATAGCTCTATGATGGCATATCATTAAAAATAATGTATAAAATATGTATAATATTTATAATGTACAAATCATGCATTAAAAATGTATAAAACTATATGTGTAGAGATGCACAGAAAAAGCCTTGGGAGGGTATATGACAAAATATGAGCAGTAGTTATCTCTGCTAGTAAGATTATAGGTGATTAAGATTACTCAGATTAATAATTATAATTAAGATTATTAATGAGATTATTAATAAATATTAAGATTATTGATAGAGATTTTTTCTATTTGCTTCTCTACAGCAAAATTAGAAAATATGAAGTATATGTATTACCTGCTTATTAATGCAAAAAATGTTTAGATGGCCTTGGCAAAATTTCTTTAACACCGATACTATCCAGTGTCACCAAGAATGAGAGAAACCATTGAGAATGCCACTGGAAGGCATTGATTTTTGTCTCAATGTTTTAATAGTCTCACTTCTAGGAATCCACCCTACAGAAATACTTATATATGTGTGTACATGGGAATAAAGGCCTGGCTCGTTACTGCACCACAATAATTTTAAAGACTTGAAAAGGTAGATTGAAACATATTGACTCGGGAAAATCTCCAAGATTTTCATCTTCAGTGAAAAAGCAATCTGCAAAGACAGCATATACTATGATTACATTTATATTTTTAAAACTCTGTGTGTGTTGAAGTGCCTAGCTGGCTCAGTCCGATGAGTGCATGGCTCTTGATCTCAAGGGTTGTGGGTTTGAGCCCCATGTTGGGTGTAGAGATGACTTAAAAATAAAATCTGGAAAACCATGTTTAAAACGGTACATTAACCGAGGGGTGCCCAGGGGGTGCAGTTGGTTAGGTGTCCGACTCTTGGCTTCAGCTTAGATCGTGATCTCTGGGTGGTGAGACTGAGCCCCATGTGGGGCTCTGCGCTCAGCACAGAGTCTGCTTAAGACTCTCTCTCCATCTCCTTCTGCTCCTCCCCACCCCCTGCTCTCTCTCAAATAAATAAATAAAATCTTTTTAAAAATAAAAAAATAAAAAGGTCCATTAACTGAAAAATTAAGTATGAATGAATTACAGCACATCCATAGGATGGAATACTGTGTGAACTTTCAAAAACAAGGTAGATTTAGATATGAAAACTGTCTCCAACAGTTACCACTCTCTCTCTCTCTCTCTATTCTAGTAAGTTTCAGGACAAAAGAGGTCTCAGAATTATAACTTTCTTTGCCGCACAGAAAAGAAACCCCTGCAATTAACAGCAAAATGGATCGCTCAGACCCTGAGATCATGTCACCTATTACTGGCAGTAAGCATGCCCAGCAGGCTTGCTCCTTTGCACTGATTTAAGTTGAGGGCTTATTAGTAATTGCAAAAATAGAAGAGCACAATATAGAACCAGAGAAAGAGGACTCTACTGTAAAGTCTTTAATTTTTTTTTTTTCCATGCCCGTGTGTTGGAGTAAGAGGCGGTGTCAGGGAGGGGCTAGGACCTTGGGCACCAGAATCAGGCTAACCTGGGCTCCGGTATCCACTGCGCTCCTCAGCAGCCAAAGGACCTCAAGCAAGTTTCAAAACTGCTCTGAACCTCGGTTTCCTCACCTGGAAAGTGAAGGTTCAAGTGTACCTACTTCACAGGATTGTGGGGAGAGTTAAAAGGGATTATTCATGCAAAGCGGTGCTGAATGCGTAGCAACAGTGCTGATTTTGCGCTCCATAAACTCACAAGCATCTGCCACAGTTTCCTGGGAGGGGTTATGCCCCAAATTTACTAACTCTCAGTACCAGAAAAAGTCTTTCTGATAAATTAAAATTAATCTCTTTCAAAATACGTATTCTTTAAAGATCAAATGTATCCTTTCTCCAATGTTTAAAATATACAAAGTTATACTGCAAAGAAAGGTACTTTTAGTTGGGTTAAACTAAAAACTGTCTTCCTAACTCATTATTTAAATCCTGATTCTGAAATTCACAGGATTTAAATCTAAGCAACTTACAGAAATTGCTTAAAAGGAATACATGCTTACTTTATTAACTATATCTATAAATTTGGGATTTTTGCTAACTGGCCTTCCTCAAGCTTTTCACCTAAATAAATACAGTTTTACTCTTCATTATTTTATGCCTTTATGTGCCCGTGTTGGATTTCAAATATGGCGAAAGAAATAAGAATGTGGTTTCTTGACATAAATAAAAACGATAAAAACAATGTGGTTTCTTGACTTAAAGAAAGAAACAAAGAAAGCAACATCATGTCTTTCATACCTTTATTTTTTTAAGTTTTTATTTAAGTAATCTCTACACCCAGCGTGGGGCTTGAACTCACAACCCCAAGATCAAGAGTCACACGCTCCACCAACTGAGCCAGCTAAGTGCCCCAGTCTCTCATATTTTTGATTAAGCATTCATTGTCACAGAAGACTGAAAAACCAGACTGAGCCCTGATGCTGAATGGCAGGAGCCAGGGAGCCATGTCACAACCCCGCTCAAACACCCATTCTTGAATAGCAGATCTCCCAAGTGTGGGTCACACTGATAACTTGAGGCATGGCATTGAGTGACAACGGGTCGCATAGTAAGCATGTTCTCTGTCCAAATCTCTCTTCAGCTATCTGACCATATATCAAGGAGACAGTCTCTGTCCAGTGATGCTATGTCTTTAACACCTAGCATGTTCTGATCTCTGTAACAGAGAGCAGGACATAGACTCATAGCCTTGGGCAGGTAACAATAGTGAGCACAGTGTAATATGACACCACTTTTTTGTTTGTTGTTTTTTTTAAAGATTTTATTTATTTGTCAGAGAGAGAGAGAGAGAGAGAACACAAGCAGGGGGGAGTGGCAGAGGGAGAGGGAGAAGCAGGTTCCCCGCTGAGCAAGGAGACAGTCGGGACTCGATCCCAGGACCCTGAGATCATGACCTGAGCTGAAGGCATCCCATGATACTACTGTTTTTGTTGTGTTGATTTTCTTTTTTTTTTTTTAAGATTTTATTTATTCATTTGAGAGAGAGAGAGAGAGAGAGACAGAGAGAACACAAGCAGAGGGAGAGAGAGAAGCAGACTCCCCGCTGAGCTGGCAGTCTGATGCGGGGCTGGATCCCAGAACCTGGAGATCATGACCTGAGCCGAAGGCAGAGGCTTAACCATCTGAGCCACCCAGGTGCCCCTGTTGTGTTAATTTTCTTGATTGCCTTCCATTCATGGCAAAGTGATACTAGTTTTCCATTATAATAGTTGTATAATGTTTATTTTTAAATACATGTATGTTTTTAAAAATTGAGTGGGTTTAAAGAACATACACATGGGGCGCCTGGGTGGCTCAGATGGTTAAGCGTCCGCCTTCGGCTCAGATCGTGATCTCCACGTCCTGGAATCGAGCCCTGCATTGTTGGGCTCCCAGTTCAGTGGGGAGTCTGCTTCTCCCTCTCCCTCTGCCTCTCCCCTGCTTGTGCTCTCTCTGTCTCTCTCTCTCTCTCAAATGAATAAATATTTTTAAAAAAGAACATACACAGATACAGCAAAAAGCACAATGGTGGGGTCAAACTAATGAGTTGGGGAAACACTGTTCTATAGAATAACATTCAAATTCAGACATTATTCAGGGCTCAGCTGTAGTCCATTTCTCCTTCCTTACCTCTTTCATTTCCATGCAATTCCCTAAACACATCACCTCAAATGTCCCCCCTCTATGATTTTGTTCAGGTCCCCCATCTAGAAGTCATTTCTATACCCACCTGTGGTAGATTGTAAAGATACCCCGATTCCTTTATGCCTCCTGCCTCCATACCCTTTGCAATGTGCCCTTACAATTAACTCACAAACGAGGCAG